TGTAGAATATTGTGAGTTGTTAAGTAGACTAATGGCGATATTCTTTGCGTCAGAGTAGTGAAGACGGAACGGTAAAAATTACAATTCATTATTGGACAGTAAAAATTCATATATATTATGGATTCATTTATTATTATGGATTCAATTCATATATTATCCAATTATGATGAATTGGATATTGAATAGTAACTGATTAGTGTATTATTAGTTTTATGTATTATATTATATAGTAATAATTACATGAAAAAATTAGTATATTATATTGAATATGGTAATTGAATAGTAATTGAACGTCATGTTATTATTAAAATCTCTTTGTAACTAAATATTAATTAATTGTGTGATACAAGATACTGTAATAGCAGCTGTAGTGATTGGGTTAGTGAACAGAGAGCGTAGATTGCTACGGTCTGGCAGCATTCAAAAAATAGACCAGTGACAAATATGGGTGCGTCAAGAGCATGCAGAAATCATACTGAATTTGTATTCATGTGCTCTGCTCGAGTTAGGCTCGGGTGTTGACTTAGGTGCTTAAGCACTCAGTGCATGTTGATCACAGTGCACTTCCATTCGCTGCTCTGTTTTGCACTTTGTCTCAGATTGTGACCGTAAGCTCAAATTCAGGTTGATAGCTGGCTGAACTGATTTTTGAAGATAATATCCCGTACNCCGTACTTCTCTCGTTAAATCATCGCATGATTTAACGAGAGAAGTACGGGATATTATCGATAACGATAATATCAGAAAGATGAATCTATAATAGAAGGCATTCGCTAAATGAGAGCCTGCTAAATTCATCAGGAAAAGATAACAGATCAGAAAAGAAGATAAATGAAATTGAATGAATTTTTAAGGTGCGACTGCATCAAATGCATTGTATGGAGGCGTTAGGTCAGTGGGATGATCTGAATAAGTTCAGTAAGAAGGCGTTCGATGAATTAACACCGAGTTCAGATCCGGAACGAAAGCAGAAAATGTCGATTATTGCGGCGAGAGGATGCTGGGCTATCGGTCGGTTTCTTAGGTTTTCTTGTTTTGCACTCATTCACTGCATTGCCGGCTCTGCATTGTCTCAAACGTAACGTCGTTGGCCACAGTGCACCTCCATTCACACCGCTGTTTGCCCTTTATCAACTCATTGCAAACAAGCTTATTCCAAAGAACTGTCAAGCTGGCTT